CTAACTCCACCCCTGCAGGAAGGCCTATCTCCACCCCTGCAGGAAGGCCTAACTCCACCCCTGCAGGAAGGCCTAACTTAGCTCCTGCAGGACACCCAGCTCCACTCTGCAGGATGACCAGCTCCACCCCTGCAGAAGGGCCTAACTTCACCCCTGTAGGAAGGCCTAACTCCACCCCTGCAGGAAGGCCTAACTTCACTCCTGCAGGACACCCAGCTCCACCCCTGCAGGACAAAATCTGGAATTAAGGGGGAAGCAGTCCTGCAGGGCAACCCCCACAGTCGGAAGGGTGTGCTCTGGGCACATAGGGACAGGAAGTGGCCATGGTTTTGATTAGAGCCACAGCTGTCAGCCATGGGCTGCCCCACCTGGACCGCTGGGCACTCTAGGATAACTACAGTAAAACCACTCCCACAGGAGCCAGGGGCAGGCTCTGGGACATAGCACCCAGGAAAGTCTAGGCCCTGCCTTGGGTCTTCTGCCCTCCTCCCTCCTTCTAGCCCAGGGCCCCCCAGGCAGACTCACACCCTTCCACACTCATCACGGAGCAGAAGGAGGCTACAGCCTCTGCCCACATGGTGTCACAGGCTGGGATGCAGGCCACCTCCCAGACGGTCCTCACTCGGGGACACTTCCTAGCCTGGTCCTCAGCTTGTTTGTGTGTAATAACCCACCTACTGACCACAGGACCACTCTCATCATATCCCACCCGCCCTCTGAGGCGCGCTCAATGCTCATGCTCAAATGAACAGGGAAGGGACACTCAGGGGGACCCAGCCACCACTACCACCGCCCCAATGAGGCTTACAGACCACCCCCCTGTTTCTTGAGGCTCGTGCGGCGAGCGGTGGGCGGCCCGGAGAAGGAGACGCACTTGTGCCCTGGCCCCGGGGGTCGGGAAGAAAGCCCCCTCTGACTGCAGTCGACGCTCCCCACCCCACCCACTCCCAGCCATCCCTGCCCCCTGTGCCCCCTCAGCCACGGGACGCAGGCACAGCCCTCTCTGCACAGCGTCTGAGGCTCCCACGAGACCTGAGCTCAGCTCCCCTAGGGAAGGCAGCCCTCCACTCCTGAGGCCCCGATCTGGACCTTCACTGTGCCCCCCACTGTCTCAGCCATGCCCGGGACACCAACTGCCCCACCCTAGCCCACCGTCTCTGACACCTCCCTCCAGCTCTGTCTAATGCCACCGGCTCCAGGAAGCCTTCCTGGCTCACCCAGGTTCCAGGGTCTCCTCCAGCTTCCCCACCGCTGCCGTGCCCCTCTCAAGCTAGGAGGCAAGGGAGGGACGAGGAGGCCCTGGCCAGCCTCTCCTTGGCCTTGAGCCTGGCCGGGTGGCTTGGCACAGCCTGGCAGCAATGCCTTGGAGCCAGGGGAGACGCACAGGCCTAGCCACTGAAGTCCCGAAACAGCAGGGGCCTCAGAAAGGCCATGCCAGGGAGGCAGCCTGGGAAGTGGTCCAGCTCCCCACACCCAGGACAGGGAGACTGTCTCTGCACCCCAGCCCTCCTCCACATCTCAGAGACACTTGCACCGGGAGGACAGAACACCAGGCCTCTACACCCCGGCTGCGCCTGTGGGGCCACAAATGGAGCAGAAACGTGGCTCCCACGGCCAGGAAATGCAGGGCTCCCACCACGAGCCTGGGCAGCTGTCCAGGAGCAGCAAATGGGGAACACAAGGGCAGTGGGCTGTCCAGACCCCTCCCCCAGCCCCACCTCTTCTCCCTGTGCTCTCCACCTCTTCCCCTCCCAGCGTCCCCTCCCTGCCCTACCCCCACCCTGCCCTCCATATTTCCCCCTCCCAGCCCCTCCCTGACTAGCCTCCTGCTCCCAATGTCCAAGAGACAGCACCAGGGACATCACCAGGTCCTTGTGCCAGCACTGCTGGCCCCCAGCCTCAGTATCCAACCAAGCAGCCAGAGAGCGCACCCCAAAATGTGCAGAGTGGGCCGAGCTGTAGGGGTACTTTTGGGGGACAGGCCCCTCCAAGAGAGCCCATCACAGCAAACCCCGGGCACTCCAACCTAGCCCAACACCCCACCCCCCAGATCCCCTCTCCTCGGGGGAAAACTGGGGGTTCAAAGGAGCTGGGAGAGACCCCAGCAGATGCCTGGAGCAGCCCTTGCCTGCCCTCAGAGCAGTCTCATCACAGATGGGCCCCCAAGGCTCCCAGCTCCTGTCATTGGTGCCCAGAGCACCCATGGGTGCCAGAGTGCTTCCAGGAGGTGACACCCAGGCTGTGGGCAGTCCCAGACACCACTGAGGCTCCCTACTGGGTCTCCTGGGGAGGGGAGCCTTTCTGGGCAGAGGTCATTCTGGAATTAATCAGCGGGGGAGGCAGAAGCCCAGAGAGTGCAGGCCCGGCGGTGGAGAAGACGGGGTTCAGGCCTCACTCCACTGCTTGGCTCTGTCTCGGGGCAGGTCCCTGTCCTGGGGTCCAGAGGGCAGCCGGTGGAAGGAGCTGGGGTCCAGCCCCACCCAGTGCTTCCCATAAGTGGACGGCCACCCTGCCCACCCGAGCCCTCACCAGGCACGTCGGCGGGAGGGCACTGTTGACACCAGAGACACTCCACATGCCCTCCAGGCACTGCTGAGCCTGGATGGTTACGGTGCTCAGCGCCCCACCAGGGCCAGCCGGGGACACGGACACCTGCACACTGGGCCCTGGGGGCCAGCCCGGCCCCTTCCTCCTGTCTGGCCCAGCCCGGCCCGGCGGCCTCCCTGCTGGGCCTGCCGGCCCCATCGCATCCCTTGGGCTGGTCCTGCCGCTAGGGCCCCCTCGGAGCGTGTCAGGGTCCTCCCGGCGGGCAGGGGCCTGCAGCAGCTGCAGCGCATCCCACGGGAGCTGGTTCAGGTGCGCAGCACAGACTTCACAGTGGCGCTCGGCCTCGGGACAGCACGCCGGCAGGGTCCCAGGCGCAGGGAGCCTCTCCAGAAGCAGAGCAGACAGGCGAGGGTCCTGGGGGGCAAGGGACAAAGGTGCGGTTGGTGCCAGGCGGGGCCTCCTCGGCAGGGGCCCGCTGCGGCCACCGCCACACAGTCCATAACTGAGTAACAAGCCCCAAGCCGTGTCATCTGCACGGGCCCAGCAGGACGGTAATTAGCAGCAAGGCGGAGGTGCTCTCAATAGCTGCCCACCTCCCTCGCCGTTAACGTGCTCAGCAGCGGCTAACCAGGTGTGTTTGCCAGCTCCCCGACAACTGCGCCGGCACAGGCAGCCAAGTTTGCTTATCCCAGTGGTCTGCAGAGTGAGGAGGGGACCCTCTGCCTGAAGCTCTGGCCTGGGCAATGGCTTGCAGGAACCCTCTGGAAGACTTGGCTCAAAAGCAACACCCATTCCAGAGCCATGGGGTCTCCCAAAGTCACACTCAGCTGAGTGGGAGATGGGAAGCTGGCGATCTCCCAGAAAAGTGATGTCAGGTCCTGCGGGCTTGTGCCACAGAAGTCATGCCTGGAGACAAACCTGACCAAGGTGAGGCATGGCAGCAGGCAGCGATGTAATTACAGTTCCACAAGGAGCCATCACTGACGACCCCACTGAAGGCCCCACAGAAGGGGCAAGCACTGGAGGCCAGGAGGCAAGGCTGGAGGCCCAGACTGTTTGACCCGGGCAGAGTCTGGTCCCTAGGCTCAGAGTTTCTCAGCGCATGGGCTGCCCCCAGTCCATGCTCCCCTCCCGTGATCTGTGAGGCTGCAGCCCAGAAAGGGGTAAGAACCGGAGCCCAAGGAGCCCAGCAGAGCCCCTCACCCAGCCTGGAATCAAGGAAAGCATCCTGGAGGAGGTAGCACCTTCCAGGGAAGAAGAAGAATGAAAACGCCAGGAGAAGAAGCCATCCCTTGGACAGACTTCACCCACCAACTGGGAAACCATCAAGTGCTTATTCCCACGGGCCCATCCCATGTCCCCTAACAGACTCTGCCTCTGTCCCCTCCCCAGGCTCCCAGAGTCCTGGTGGTTGACTGAAGGAGGGCCTGCCTGGGGGTCTCTAAGGAAGTCAGAAGTCTAGCCTTTAGTGAGGCCTGGGTGTGTGGGAGGGGCCTCAGGGGCAGCTGAGAAGTTTCCAGGCTAGAAAACCACACCCCCAGCCCCTCACCAGGAGGTGTGGTCAGGCTCTCTGGGCCCCAAGATAGCTACCCTTTCCCCAAGGGGTGTGCCCCAATCATAAGGTGCCACCTGGTCAGGGCAGCCCATCTCTGAAGCATCCACCCAGCCCCACCACCAGAGCTTTTCCAGTCCCCAGCCAGTGCTGGTCTGTGCCTCCATGGCAGCCCATTTTCTGGCAGATTGACTCCATCAGCCCCCATCCCTCACCCACCAGTCACAGCCAGGGCCAACTGCAATCCTCAGAGCAGGCAGGACCGGAGCCTGGTACCCTCGTCTCAGGTCCCAAGGAACTCTGTCCAAGGTCTGGCTCCAATCCTGCTGGCTACAAAAGGGGCCAACACATACATTCCTCAGATAAGGAAGCCGAGACCCCATCCATAGCCCTGAGCCTGCCTGTGGCTGGCCAGGTCTGTGTCCATGGATGCCTGGGAAGTCTCACATCTGAGGACAGCTGTGGCTGTGGTGACCCTCAGCTGGTGCCCAACTCTTAGACCAGCATGAGAGGTCAATCACTGTTCTTTTTGTCCCCAGCACACCTCACACCCCTGCAGGGTGAGCCCCAGCTGAGACCCCAGCCACTGAGTTCCCCTAACACCAGAGCACACCCAGAGATGACAGGGTGGCCACAGCCAGCCATCAGTCACCACGCTTATTTGTCGGCTGCCTGGTTTTCTCTGCAGAGGCTCTGAAGTGCCCAAATCTGGTCCCCATTAGCAACCCCCTACTCCCACAGACACCCCAGGAAGTGCACCAAGGCCAGAGGTGCCAGGATCAAAAGGCCACATGAGGCCCTGCCCATGAAAGGGACACCATGCCCCAGACTGCCGCCCCTGCAGGGGCCTCAGAGGTATAGGGTACGACGGAAATACCTCAGGAACCCCCGCTCCGCTCCCACTGCTCAAGGTCACACCCAAGCAGGAGGACACAATCACAGCAGATTCCCTGGCCATGGGGGGAGGGCCACGCAGCAGCCCCAGGGCAGGCCCTCTCAGGCCCCCAGCCCCCAGGCCCCAGGGCGGGCCCCTTCAGGCCCCCAGCCCAGCCAGAGGTCTCAGGCAGGGCCTCAGAAGAGGACTTGCCCACCTCCCCCTCCTCGGGGTTCTGCCCCTGCCTGTATTCCAGGTCCCCACTCAGATGACCAGATTTTTCCACTCAGCAGGAGGCTGCTAATGGTGGCGGCCTACGGGAAGGAAGTCTGCTGGAACCATTAGCCAACTTGAAAGGCAGCCCAACACGGGCTCCACCCCCTCCCTAGACCCAGATCCTGGCCCCATTCCCACCCCAGGCCCAGATCCAGACCCAACCCCCACCCCAGACCCAGAGCTAGCCCCCGGCCCAGGCGCATCAGCTCATTGCTCTGGGACTGCTGCCTGTCTTGGCCGTGCAGGCCTATGGGGGACACACACTGCCACTCCACTGGGGCCTGCACAGCAGGAAGCAGGAAGCAGGAAGGGCAGGGCAGGGGAGGGCAGGAGCCCTGACTGACCTAAGAGGCCAGCAGAGCTGGAGGCCTTTACAAGACCCACAGTGGCCACCTGGGCCCAGGCTCCCCATTGCCCCTGCCTCCACACCCCAGCGTCCCCCAGGGTGCCAGCCCCACCCAGCGTCTCCCCCTAGATCCTGTGCCCAGAACCAGGCTGGGTCCATCTGGGGCCAGGGGCCTGCTGCTTGGACACAGGAGAACTTTGAAGCAGGTCTAGGCAGGCCCAGGACCCTCAGTGCATGCCCCAAGTGCAGGGACCCCAACCCTGGCCTGTGGGCCAGAAGGGGGCAGGCAGCCCAGAGGGCCCAGTGCTGGGCAAGGACAGAGTCCAAGGTCCCCACGGCATCAGCCTGGCCCTGGGGAGAGTGGTCCTGGTGGGGGCTGCTCCTGAGGAGCTGAGATTGGCCCCTCAACAGGAGGTGAGGGTGTCCACCCTCATCCCCCTACCCCCTGCTGCTCGGGCATGTGGACAAAGATCCATGCAGCCCCGCTCCCCTCCCTAAGACCCAACCACAGAGCTCCCTCCTTAACTTCCTGTCCCATCCCAACCTCAGGGAGCTCAGAGCTCTGAGGCCAGGCCCTTCCCCAGCTCTGCTCCAGGCCCCAGCAACTCCAGTATCCACAGGCCCCAGCCCCTCAGGGGTCATTCCAGTGTCAGGAGTTTTAACCCGGATGCCTGGCCTCCGGCCCTCAGGCCAGCTACCCTCCGAGGCCAGGGCCTCCTGAGCGTTGCCGTCCCTGCAGAACAGACTTTCAGTTCCCCCTTCAGGGTCTACTTAAGCAGGTATCTTACCTGTATTCAGGAAACGTTTCCCTAATTTGATTCAATGTCGCATCACGCACTGCCCCCCATCGGGCCCCCTGGGTCCCAGGGCCTCCCTGTGACTTAAAAATGACGACTTTCCACTTTTCAGTCCGGTTCTCAGGTCTCCTGCTGGGAGGCCTGACACACCACCAGCACCGCACACCTCAGAGGGCTCGGAGCTCCAAGGCCAGCCGAGCTCTCCACGGGGCAGAGCTGGAGCTAGGGCCACTATGGAGGAGGAGGGGACAGGAGACGGACCCCCGGACTCAGGGACAATCCAGCTGCCCCCCTCAGAGCCCTCATGGCCCTGTCACTAGGAAGGGGGTCACTGGGAGACAAACAGGGCCCAGGCCAGGGGTGCCTCCCCGGCAGCCCCCACAGCCAGGTAGGGCCAGAGGCAGCCCTGAAGCAGAGAGCGTGTGGCCAGTACATCCCCGCCTCAGCCTTCCCCTGGGTGTGGCCACACGCAGCCACTGTTTCCGGAGTTGACAACAGGTCCAGGAAGGGGCCCCCACCTGCTGGCGGACAGCTGCCCCCAGGGTCCAGCTGTCGAGGAAATTCCCGTGTCTCCAGTGCCACCAGGGGCAGGGACAAGGGTGCAGAGCGCCGTTCTCCAGCCTGGAAACTTGTCAACTGCCCCAGCCCCACCCTGCTGACCCCGGGGGCCAAGCCTCACAGAGAACAGACTTCCCGCCTCCCTCAGACACCTGCCAGGGCTCTGGGGACCAGTCCGTCCCAGCAGGCTGGAGCTCTGGCCCAGGCCTCCTCCTCTGCTGGGGGCAGGCGCCGGCCCACCCAGCACCGACTGGCACGCGTCCGAGCGGCCAGGTGCCAGGACCGGCCAGCTGGGCAGCTCACTACAGACAGTTCATTGAGGCCCTTCTCCCTCAATAGCCCTGCTTCACCCGGAGCCACGGCCAGGGTAACAAGGACCGACAGTGAGGAGGGCTGGGGGACCTGGGGCAAAAGACAGGATCAGCAAGGACGACCTCTGCCAGTGGGTGGGGGGAGGCAGAAGAGCAGCAGGAAGGACACGTGGTGCTCGGACAGTGCTCAGCACACGGCGCAGCTCACGGTCACCAGACACTCTCAGTCCGGCTCTGCACGCAGCCCCAGCCACCAGGCACCGCAGCATGTCATCTGTGTTATCACTCTCGGCTGCTGTGGAGACGGCCTCAACTCATGGCCGTGTGCCCAAGAGGACAAAACACCGGCCACCCCAAGGTGACACAAGGTGACCCCATGCCTGAGAGGATAAATGCCAGCCATCCCGTGATGACACATGGTGACCCCATGCACGAGAGCCATCATCAGAATGCCAGCCATCACATGGTGACCCCGTGCCTGAGAGGACAAAATTTCAGCCATCCTATGTTGACCCTGTGCCTGAGAGGACAAAACTCCAGCCATCCCATGAGGACACATGGTGACCTTGTGCCCAAGAGGACAAGCACCAGCCACCCCACGGTGACACACAGTGGCCCCATGCCCGAGAGGACAAAACGCCGGCCATCCTATGGATACATGGTGACCCCGTGCCCAAGAGAATGAAATGCCAGCAATCACATGGTGACCCCATGCCCCAGAGGACAGATGCCAGCCATCCCACGGTAACACCTGGTAACCCCAAAGTCAGCCCTCTGTGCCCCACAAGGTGACACCGGGTGACACCTGGTGACCCCACAGTCAGCCCTCTGTGCCCCAGAAGAGACCAGGTCTACCCCCCACAGGACACAATGCTTGTCCCCGGGGGCCCACAGTCCCTGTGCCCAGTCAGCTTCCAAAGCTCCCTCCACTGCTGCCTAAGATCAAGGACAGTGGGTCCCATCACTTAAGCTAAATCCATTCCCTGCTCCCCGCTCCCAAACCCTTGGACAGCAAAGGGAGGGCACAGGAGAACGGCCCCCGCGCTGCCTCAGGCTGAGGCAGAGGGAAGCCCGGATACTGGTTCCGCACATCAGAGCGGGGCGTGCCGGACGACCACCACTACTGAGCGGCTGCCCCTGCCCCAGCAACCACCACGCTGAGGGGCGGGCCTCCAGGGCCCAGCTGCAGAGACACTCCCTCCCACTGAGTCATCCTGTCCCCTGCCAGCTGGGAGACCGCCCAGCGGCTGCCCCAGGGAGCATCCATCCCTCTCACACCTCCCCTGGCTGCCACCAAGGCCCGCCGACACCTGGGCCCATCTGTGGAGCACCGCGCCCCAAGGTGGGAACCACAGCCCAGCAGGGAGGGGGCCCAGAAGTGGGTGGAGCTGGGGCCAGGCTCCAAACAAGTGGGGGGCGGCAGCCACGCCCCCCGCCTTGACCCGGGGCCTGGGCTTGCTGACTTCCAAGGCCAGCTGCACTCAGACAGACAGGCACATCCCAGACAGCAGCGGCCTTGGAACTGCCATCTGATGTCAACGGCTTCCGAGGTGGGGCCATAGCGTGGGGGTCAAGAGAGCTTCCTGGAGAAAGTGGAGCGAGGCCAGAGCCCGCAGGACTGCCACCCCAGACCACAAACGAGGGGGCCTAGGAGAGGGGCCGAGGAGAGGGTGGTCTTGCCAGGGAGCCGCGAGCCAACCCCTGTGGACTGTGGACTAGGAGCCCTCCAGGTGGGGTGTGCTGGTGTTCACTGCCCTTGGGGACAGATCTAAGAACATGCCATGGCTACACGTGGGCAGGGGCCACTGAGCTGGTGAGCCACAGCGGAAGTTCAATGGGGATTGACCACATTGCTGCCGCTGGCGCGCTAACCAATTCAGCACCGCTATTGACACATCCACTGTCACGAGGTCTCCGGGGAAATCGTCACCTCTGAACACTGCATCTGGGGCAGCAGCTGGAATGATGCCCAGGGGCGCCCCTCCCCCTCACAGCAGGGGAGCAATCCTTCAGGAGAGGGGTCGTTGTCCACGAAGGGCGGAGAGCCGGGCTGGCCAGCGAACGGCCACTATCACAGTGTGGGAGGAAGAAAGTGTCACTCTTCTAGGTAACCTGGACCCCCTTAGGAGCTCTGGCGGCCTAGTGCCTAAGGCACTTGACTGCTAACCAGAAGGCTGGCGGTTCAAACCCACCAGCCACTCCTGGGAAGGAAGGTTGGACAATCTACTTCTGTAGAGACACCACCTCGGAAACCCAAGGAGGGGTCACTATGAGTCAAATCGACTCAATGGCAGTGAGTTTGGGGTCTTATTTTGGACCCCTCTTGCCCTCGCAGCAGCACATGTGGTCACACAGTGCCGGAGGCGGGTGGAAGGGTACAGAGGGGTGGCCTCCCGCAGGGCGTGTCTGAAGGAGACGTCAGTCCTCAGAAAGCTGGAGTAGGGCAGGAAAAGTGATGGTGCCGAGGGCCGGGCTGGCTGGCTGGTGCAGAGAGTGAGACCACAGGGCCCTGAGTGCACCCGATCCTGTGTCCCAAAGGACCTGGCCCAACATCGCCCTCGAGCTCACCCCTCTGCAAAGAGCCACAGTAGAAGGTCTTCAAAGAGCAGCAGCGGCAGGGGCCAGGATGGGGTGACCACGTGTTCCAGGGACAAGTCCCTGACAGGCTGTCACAGCACCTGCCCAGGCTCTCCCAGTGGGCCTGGAGCTGCGGTTCACTAACATCAAGAGGCCGGAGTCCCAGGATCCACCTCCTCCCTGGGCCCCCAGCAGTGGGTCTGCAATCAATGCCCCCAAGGGTGAGAGCAGGGGGCCCTGAACGGGGCACACGTGCCTGTGAGCTGTGAGGTGCTGAACCAGGGGGAGCTCATGGACCATGATGAGAACTCAGGAGCAGCCCCTGGGAAAGCCCCAGAATGCCAGCTTTGCAGCCTGACGTCACCATGACGACTGCACTCTACTGCTAACTGACAGGCTAGAGGTTTGAGTCCAACCAGACGACACACCTTGGAACACAGGCCCCACGGTCTCCTTTCAAACACCCACCTGAAAACCGTGGAACACAGTGCTGCTCCTAGCCACGTGGGGTCACCAGGAACCAGGGTGGACAAGCCCATGGTGACGGGTAAGTGCTCTGACGCCATGCGGGCTTCAGAAGATGGGCCCACCCCACCCCACCCACTCCAGGCTCCCGGCTGGGACCACTCCAGAGGCAGTCACACACTCCACCCCAGTGAGCTCCCCTCCAAAACCAAAACTGAAAGCAGCCCACGTCTGCAGGCCTCACCTTCCCCCCCCGAGTGTGCACAGCTGAGGGAGGGGACAGGGCATGAGGCTGCAGCTTCCCGGAGGCAACAGGGTGGGGGACACCCCATCAAGGTCCCCGGGCCCAGCTTCCTCCCCTGGCAGAGCCCACCGACTGCACAGCACTCCAAGCTTACTGCACGCTGACCGCGGAGACATCCACTGAGGTCCAGGCACCGTGGGCGTGAGGCACAGCAGGGGACGGAGGGACTGGGGAAGAGGGTGAGCCCCACCCAGCACTGGAGACAAGCACCCAGGGAGGCTGGGGCAGACAGGAGGTGAGCGCCCCAGGTGGTCAGAGCCGGCTGCAGGGACCACCAGGGACCACCTTAGTCCTCAGCTCCCTCTACCATCACAGCTGGCCACCTGTGCTCGCTGGGCCAGCACTGGGGCAAAGCCCACCCCACAAGTCAGATGGCAGCTCAAGCGTAAATCCCCCCATCTCTGGCCACCCGGGGGTGGTAGGGGCCTGTGAGCACTGACAGGCACCAAGGAGTCTGTCCCAAACTGCCCTTGCTAGACTGTGTAAGGACAACAGACTGAAAAGAGGTGGCTGTCACACCCTGTCCAAAGCGAGGGACAGATGAGGCTTTTGCAATTCGCCTTACTGATTAGTAATGGCAAGATCCTTGCCCTCTGACAAGTAGGTAAATGAGACATGTCTCAGGCAGCCTCCTGTTTGAAATGTAACTGCAGGTTACCCACCTCCAGTGGCCCAGGCTCCATAAACCAAACCACACCGAAGCAAAGCAACTGCCATCAAGTCAATTCCAACTCACAGCGACCCTTTAGGAGCTCTAGTGATGTAATGCCTAAGGCATTTGACTGCTAACCAGAAGGCTGGCGGTTCAAACCCACCAGCCACTCCCCGGAAGGAAGACTGGGCAATCTACTTCTGTAGAGATATCGCCTCAGAAACCCAAGGAGGGGTTGCTATGAGTCAAAATCAGCTCAATGGCAATGAGTGACCCTTTGGGACAGAGTAGAACTTGCCCAAAGGGCTTCCAAGGCTGTCAATCTTTACAGAAGCAGACGGCCTCATCTTTCTCTCGAGGAGCAGCTGTTGGGCTCCAACCACTGACCTTTCGGTTAGCAGCCGAATGCTTTAACCACTATACCACCAGAGCTCCTCTCCAGCCAAAAAGATACTAGCAAACGAGCAATATTATCTTGCAACTCAGGCACGACGGGTGGGTCCACTTGGCTCCACAAAGGGCCCAGTGCCCGTGTGCCATGGCCGTCTCTTTAGTGATGGCCCCAGTGGCACTGCATTCCAGTTTAAGGCTTATTCAACCACAGAGCTCCTGCCCCTCTTTGTCTTTATGGAGAGGATCTCTGGGTAGATTTTGTTTTTAATAACTTTTCTCCAGCTCCTGCCTGGGCAGTGGGTACAGACGAACCCATAGGACAGACCCACCCCGGACAGGCTGCAGGTCCCCTCACCTAGCTGCGGCAGTGGGCTGCAGCCCTGCACCGACCTCCACCAGACTCTAGAAGGCCGGGACTGCGTGACCAGAGCAGAGGCCGGGCCTGTACCCACCCTGGTAGCCCCAGCCAGAGCTCACTAGGGCTCCCAACGTCCCAGGTCTTGCCTGCCCTGCCCCACAGAGCCCTATATTTAGATCCATGGGAACGACTGGGACTTCCCAGGAATTCTGTCACAAGACACTGAAGGTCAAGAGGGGCCGGCTTCCTCTGGAGACCCCACCTCAGCTGCAAGCACATTGTTCCCAGGAACAATGCTCCTGGCACCTTCAAAGCCCAATGGCTGTAAAACCTACAGATCCTGTACCCCTACAGACGCCCTGCTCCCTGCCAGCTGGGACCGCAACCTGGCGACCCCCTCAGGGCTCCGGCTGGGCACTGCCCAGATGAGTGGCAGATTCAGGATCTGCCAGGGATTGGGGGGAGGCTGGAAGCAGGGCAGGCAGAGGCCGGCCTGCCCTGGCACCCTCCAGGCCCTGTGGCCCAGGTGTGCGATTTCCCGACACCTGGCTGGGGGCCTAGGTGCCCCAAGGGAGACAACGCACCAAGTCACCTCTCAGTGCTGGCAGGCCCTGGTGGCCCCGCCCAGGTGGAGTCCCCGCCCACCCCCTCCTTTCCCCTCTAAACACAGATGTGGTTCACACTGTGGGACATCTGGGCTCCGACCAGAAACTGTCACCCCCCTGGGAGTCTCTGCAGGACCCCCCAAAAAAGAGGTTCTCGATCCTGTCCTCTCCTGTTACAACTGGGAAACTGAGGCACAGAGAAGGGGCCAGGCCAAAAGTACTGGATGGTCAAACAGCAGGGCAGGCAGGCCTGGAGCCAAGGTTTCACGGGTGCCAACGGGCCCTGCCCAGAGGAGTCACTTGAGTTGGGGTGACTTACCCGGAGGGGTGTCCCAGGCCCAGTGACCAGCTTCCACGCCTGTCGTTTGAGCTCTGCAAGCTTTGTGTGGCAGTGACGGCACCAGCCGCCTCCGCTGGCTGGGTGTCCCTGCTCGGCGCTGGCCCCCGCCCCCTCCGGCGCAGGGCGGCCGCCACATGGGTTCTGGTCCGGTCCCGCCGGCAGTCTCTTGAGGGCGGACACCTCTTGCAGCTGCAGCGGCTGGCAGGCCGGGCCACCCTCGGCCACCTGCGGGAGGTGGGGCGAAAGCGGAAAAGAAGCATTGAGCCTGGGCTGCTCCCGGCGACCTGCGCCCACCAGCCCCAGACTGACGCACTCGCCAAAGTTGGGGACGCTCGGCCCGGCCTGCAACCCATTCTCTCCCTCCACCCCGAAGGTCCCCGGTCCCTCCCGGCAGGAGGCCGGGCCCGCGGCCCTGCACGCCTCCGCCCCCTCGTACCCCGGGCTGCGCCCCGCATAGAGGGGCGCCGCGGCCGCCCATGGCCCAGCGCACAGCGAAGGGCCGCAGCTACGTGACGCGGCCTGGGGGCGCCCCCATGGTTGGGCTCGCCGCGAAGTTGGCGCGGCCCGGACCAGCGGCCCAGAGCGCGCGACTGTGGCAGCAGCGGGCGCGCTCCCGAGGCTCAGACGGGGCGGGGGGCGGGGCGGGGCGGGACTCCGGGGGGGGCGAGGAGCCCGAGGGCAGCCACGCCCCGTCCTGCCCCCCGCCGGGGGTGCTGGGGGAGGGGGGCTGTCCTGTTTCCGCGCGCGGCCCCTCTCACCCGAAGGACCCCAACCTGTTTGGTGAGTCCCTGCGTGCAGGAGGGGAGCAGGGCCCGCAGTGCCAGACAAGTTGCGCGCGCACGAGCCACAGAGCTGCTCTCCCGGGACACGCAGTCCGCGCGTCTCCTCTGAGACACTGACTTCCTCCTTACTTTACAGGCGGGTAAACTGAGGTTACGAGGCAAGGTCTTGCAAAGGTCACACGGCCACGTGGGCCGAGGAAGGGTCTGAACCCCGGCCCGACTGCAGTCCGCGCATCGCTTCAGATCCAAGGGCGCTGCGCGCGTCTCTGTCACCCTCTGAGTCTAATTATCGCGCGGCGAGTGGCACCGGGTTGGCACCTCAGGGCATTCGGTGCCCGTTGTCGGTGTACCAGTGTCGCGGCCTGTCTACGAGCGGCCCACGTGTCTGCAGCCCGCGTGTGCCCGTCTCGGGGTGCGCGCCAGGCAGCGCCTGGGCGGGAGGGAGCGCGGCGCGGCCCGGGGCTGCGAGACCTGTTGTCGCCAGACCTGGCAGATGGGAACTTAGCTGCGCGATTAATTGCCTGTTTGTCTCTTGCTGGGAGGTCGCCCCCTTGGCGACCAGTTGCTCCCGCCCCAGTGTCGCCGCGGTCTCTGGGCCGCAGGCAGCTTGGTCCCAGCTCCGGGTCCGCCCGAGACCCCAGTCCCGCTCAGCGGCACCCGGCTCCGTGACGCGCGCGCCACCTGCCGGCCGCCGCGCGCCCGCCGCCCAGGTCTCCGGGAGGCGAGCCCCCAGCCCAGCGAATAGGGGCTCCGCGCAGCCGGAGCAGGGAGGCGCGCCTCGGTCCCGGGGAGAGCTAAGCCAGGACCGATCACTGGGCTGCGACCTCCCAGGGCGCACACTGAGACCCCCTAGGTGCTCCAGTCGCTCCCACCTTCTCCGGAGCCCCTCGAAGCGGGCCCTCCCTCTTCACGTTTGGCCCACCTCCCTTTCACTTGGAGGGTCCGCCCCGCCCACGCACGCACTCCCGAAGAAAAGAGGGTGGATCCGGTCTTCGCCTCTCCCCGCTTTCCGTGTTGTTCTTGGAAGGGGGGCAACAAAGGGGCAGGGCCTCCCGGTTCTCACTCCTGCCACCCCGCAGCCTCCAGCCCCTTCCCACCCAGCCCTTCTCCTCCACACCCAGGAAACCGGGCGCCAGTCCCCATTCGGATCGGGGTACCACTCTCCTCCCCACCCGGCATTGCGTGCAAACAGCGCCACTCCCCGCCCCCCAACTGCTCTGGGGACCCGCCCGCCCCCGCCCGGGAAGCGCGCCTCACACACCTTTTATGCCACCCACATACACACGCGCGCGCACACATTCCACATGCACCCCCAGAGTCCTGGTACCACACCCGCGGCCGGCCACACTGCAACTTCAGCTCTCCGCACCAACGCGGCAGCACGGGACCGGCTCACGCTCGGGGTGAGCAGGACCAGGCTCAGCCCCGCAGAGCCCGCAGGTGCGCGCGGGACCTGGAGTCTCCTCAGTGACTCCGGCCCAGCCGAGGACTCCCCGCCGCTGCCTCGCCCAGCCCCTCAGGGCACGCGGTGGGACCCGTGGCCCCTGCGCTGCGCTCTCCGCCTGGTCCAGACCTTGCCTTGAAGGAAAGGGGGATTGGGCCGCACTCATAGGGGAAAGTGGTGCAGCGAGCCCGGCCCGACTGCGGGCGCACTCGGCACCTGCCGCCTCACGCCGGGTGCCGCACCCGGAGCCGCGCAGCAAAGTGGCGGGACACCGCGCGCTGCGCGCCGCCCGCCGCCTACCTTGCCTCGCCGCCGCAGGAGGTGGCTGGTGAAGCCCAAGATGATCTCCGAGTCCAGACAGAGCGCCCCCATCTCCAGCAGGCCGGGCGCC